AGTTTATTTTCTAGCACATTTGGCAACCCTTGAATTTGGAGGGCAGTAAACAAACATTGCATAAGTCATTGTCAATGACATCCTGCAAAAGCTTTTCAGTTGAAGCATGATTTTTTAGTACAAAATACTATAAGGTACGAAAGGTAATTTACGTCAGCAATAAAGCGTGTATGAACTTGGGAGATGTTCTAAAACTATGAGAATGGAAAGGCAGCCGCATTGAGTGAAACAGAGTTACTCAAAACAAGTCTGTTTATTTTGGCGGCATCTACGAAAACAGTAACCAAAACAAAAAAGGATGAACAAAAATAATTAAAAGAAAATATATTTTCACATGAATACCGGATGCTGATGAAGACAATTATACGCTCCATATTAAAGTGGAGATATTAAGGCCAAGGTATGTACGTGTTAACCTGGTTTTTATTAAGTCTTTAAAAAGCATCATATACGAGAGGTATTGTGGAAAAACATAAAACGTTCCCCGAACCTAAATTGTATTAAACACATTTGCCCAAAGGTTTAGCGATTTATCCCAGATTTTCTCTTTGATGTGGAACCTAACGACAGGAAATACAATCTATTTTTTGCTCTACAAAATCTAAATGTAATATTTTATTTTAACAAGTTCATGGCTATAAAAAGGGATTTGTTCGACGAATGTGTTTGTGTTGGTGTGACCATAAAAACAAACACACTCACACACCCACTGACACCCATTTATTTATAATGGCTACATTTTCTGCACAAATCCTCTGTGTTTTGTTTAAGGTCACCAATCCCAACGACAGGCGGTGATGGCTCTTTTGTTGTCACATTCGAATGGTCTTTGGCAGGATTGCTCGGCTTGCTATCGGCAGACGGAAAATGACAGGTTTTTCAATAGATTTTTGTTTTGTTGTTGTTGTTTTTTTTTTTTTTTGCAAATGTTATGTTTACGAGTTGCCTTTCTGTTCTGACGGAGTTTTCTGATGCTGAATGAAATATAAATGAAATGTCTAAGGGCTTCATTCATAAATGTATAAAGCAATCATTGTTTAGTTATGGCCCATGGCAGGGAAAGGATGTTAAATGTCTTTTAACCCTGTATTATTGTACGGAGGTTAAATTAAGTGTGTGACCATTGGAAATAGTTATTTTTTTTATTCCCTCATATTTATGTTTTTGTGATCAATGTAGCTTAAATGTATATTTTGTTTGTGCCTATATCAAGTGTGAAGACAACGGTTATCGCTTTACATTTTATCCGTCTGTGGGAATCACTTTCGCTTCCGAACAAAAAAATAGGTTGATAAAATTTTACTCAGATGTATTTTAGCTATGCAGGAAATGGGCTATACGGGTCCACGTTTTGGTATAGCCCCCCATACGAAGACATATAATGTATTAAGAAGGAACCTTTCATTGTTGCTTTGATTCAATAGATGTCCCATCTTAGGGTTAGGGCCGTTCTTTGTAAGATTAGAGCAAAAATTTCCAATAAAGCATCATCTTAGAAGCATGACGTCCAAGACAAAAATGTTTTTTTTTTTCACTATGAGTTTCCAAAGAAAAAACTCTACAAGGTGTGATAAAAAAACTGCAACAAAGTCATACGCCACAATTTTTACATTTTTTTTAAAAATTTTATTGAATCAAAGCAAAAAATGTCGGAAATAGCATGACATTTTGGAATAAGTTTAGATTTGTTCGAATTGGTCACGAATTATGGCCTTCAAACGGCCAATGAAACCATCACACGTTGCCCGAATGTTGCTCTGTGGTATTTTGGCCCATTCCCGGTGAAGCGCTACCTTGAGGTGATCGACACTTTGGTATTATTTTTAGTGCTCACCCTTGCTTTCCAAAATACTCCAGACACAATATTCCAACAGAATGGTATTCGGAGACTTTGGTGGCCATTGTGTGATGGAAATGAATCGAGGAACCATATTTTGTAACCATTCTTGGGTGGCACGTGCTGAGTGCGATTCCTGTTGGAATGTACAAGGTCTGCGGCCAAGATGTTTGCGTGCCCAAGGCCTTAATTCACCCTCCAGAACATTCTCGCGATAATATTCGGCATTTATTCTAATTCCACGATCGATTAATACGAGCGGAGAGCGACCATCGGCTGTTTTGGTGGCCCACACCATCACCATGGACGACGCTTGAGTTCTGGTGGCCAACCGAAGGTGCACATTTTCAGCTGACCTCTTTGGCAAGTAAACACGATCATTTTGTTTGTTTACAAACTGCTGGACAACGAATGTTTTCTCATCGGAGAAAACCAAATTCGGCAGTTCATCACTTTCCGCCAAGCGAAACAACTATTTCACTCTTTTGAGTATTTTTTTTTTGTTGCGGTGTAAGTTCTTGAACTTTTTGGAATTTCAATGGTTTTACCCCGATCTCATTTTTCAATATTTGCCGAATGGAATATTGCGATATTTTCAGCTCACGATGTTGCTGATGTTGCTGTTTTCTTCCGTGCACTTCCTTGAAGTCGGGCTGCGCTACCAGTATCACGGTAACGAGCGATGGTACGAGACACAAAAGATTTATTGACATTTAAACGATAACCACTTGTGGTTTTCAGCCAAAAATAAAGAAATCATACCATCGCGCTTGAATTCCATCACGAATAACTTTTTTTGGAAAACTCTCACCAAAATGCGTTTGTAGGCTTGTGAACAATATAATGAGCTGTCACTGGAATAATTTTAACAGCTGTTGGACGAGTGGCTTAGAAATGACAGCTTGCAGTCCAAAGAATGTTTTACTTATGCATCAGCTGGGCAATGAAGCCAACGAGGGCTTTAGAGACTATTCTATATATACATAGGTATAAGTGAGGTATGAGGCCGCTATCGCAGGCGTGTGGTATAGGATCAATAAAGGTCACATAATATACCATCATTCAGGTCAGTATAATGTATCAACAGTGGTGACCACTTCTTACAGAATATCAGAAGAGCCAGGAGTCTATCTCCAGGATAAAATTAAAATTATCCCAGTGACAGCTCATTATATTATTTACAAACATACAAAAGCATTTTAGTGAGAATTTTCCAGAAAAAAAAGTTATTCGTGATAGAATTCATGCGTGATAGTGTGTTTTCCTTATATTTGGCTTTAAAACCACAAGTGGCTATCGTTAGAGCACTCCAGCATTTAAATGTGAATAAATCTTTTGTGTCTCGTACCATCGCTCGTTACCGTGATACTGGTAGCGTAGCCCGACGCCAAGGAAGTGGACGGAAGAATACAGTAACATCAGCAGAAATGGTTTGAAAATTAAAGAAGCGACTTGATCGAAACCCGCGTCGCAGTGGCCGAAAAATGGCTCGTGAGCTGAACATATCGCAATATTCTATACGGGAAATATTGAAAACTGAGCTCGCAAGAACTTACACCGAAACAGAAAAAAATAGACTCAAAAGAGCTTAGGAGTTGCTTCGCTTGGGCGAAAGTGGTGAACTGCCGAATTTTGATTTCTCCGCTCCGATGAGAAAACATTCTTTGTCCAGCAGTTTGTAAACAAACAAAATGATCGTGTTTACTTGTCAAAGAGGTCAGCTGAAAATGTGCACCTTCGGTTGGCCACCAGAACTCAAACGCCGGCCATGGTGATGGTGTGGGCCGCAATAACAGCCGATGTTCGCTCTCCGCTCGTATTAATCGACCCTGGCATCAGAATAAATGCAGAATATTTCCACAAAAATATTCTGAAGGGTGTATTAAAGCCTTGGGCACGCAAAGATTTTGGCCGCAGACCTTGGATATTCCAACAGGACTCATCACTCGCCATCCAAGAATAGTTACGAAATGAGGTTCCTCGCTTCATTTCCAGCGCACAATGGCCACCAAAATCTCCGGATACCAATCCGTTGGACTATTGTGTTTGGAGTATTTTGAAAAGCTAGTTTGGCACTGAAAAATACCAAAGTGTCGATAATCTCAAGCAAGCGCTTCGCCGGGAATGGGCCAAAATACCGCAGAGCAACATTCGCTCAGCGTGTGACGGTTTCAGTGGCCGTTTGAAGGTCATAATTCGTGCCAATATCCGACATTTTTTGCTTTCATTCAAGAAAATTAAAAATATGTAAAAATTATGGTGTTTTACTTTGTTGCAGTTTTTTTATCTCAACCTGTATGTCCGCTATTCTGGAATGACCAATTTTTTCGAACATAATCCCCATACCCCTATTGACCAAAAAAGTTATAGTTCCCATAATTGTAATGGGTATTATGTCCGTGGCGATTATGACACTGTGCCTCATTGCCTGAAGTTAAAGGAATACAAATTTGGAATGTGCAAAACCATTACAGGTAGTAGATTTCAAAGTTTGGGCGAAATATGTCCACACATCACTATGAAATATCGAGAACATAGGGAAGTAATCTTAGATCCTATGAGAAGAACCAAATGAGGAAAATACAAATGACTTTATACCATTAAGTAAAGATAAAATTGGCAGCTTTTACAAATTTTACGAAGCAGTTCTAAGGGAGAACTGTCCAGATCTGGGACACTTCATGGGAATGGACCTTAACAACATTAGGAGATTCGTTAAAAATACGGAATTTTTAATATAACAATAAATCTGCCATACTCTAATGATAGCCCTTGGTTTTCTGTTAAGATTATACAAATATTATAGTTTGGAGGAGGAGTATGGAGAATCCCATATATGATTGCATTTTTTAATTTTTAATTTTTCTCTTAATTTCTTATCGACAGCTAGACTTTTTCGCATTTGTACTCTTTGCCAAAGAGAAAACACCAAATCGTTTTTATCACTTTCACAACAATTAATAGAGAAGTTCATATTCTTGACAAATAGATAACAGCAACGACGACAACAACAACAACACCAGTGAAAACTGATAACAAGGGAACAAAATGATATGAACTGATATTTACTGAGCAAATTTGTTCGTGGTAAGCGAATATTCGCTTTTGGTATTGCTTTTCATAACATTTAGTTTAGTTACTGACATTAAAGCGAATAAAACGAAAATCGGCGAGGAAGTGGACGAGAGATCTAAAGCAAATTATTAAAAATTAAGTGATTAGGAAAAACACCCCACAATTAAGGAAAATTAAAAAAATATTTTTCCATAACATAAATAGTACAAAATAAAAATTTATAAAAATAGTATATAGTCATAACCCTATTGACTGATGTGATTTCATTCCCTGTTCTTTGTGTTATCTTTTGCTGGTGGCAATTAAACAAGTGTTATACCTTTATTCAATTTAAAGAACAAAAAATATTTATTTTTCCGCTATTTACTGAAGACGAAGAAATGAATGGTGACTCCATAAATAATGGTGACTCAAAGTGTTCCCCACCATCGGGTATTAACTCGAACACCGCCGCCGCCGGTGGTTCGACGACAATAGTGAAATATGAAAAATCGTCATGCCTGTTCTGCAATGAATGGTTTGATTCACAAACATTTACGGTACGTTTGAATGCCTGCAAATTGAATAGAAAGCTATTTTTGAGTTAGCGAAATTGATTAGCTGTTTCCTGTTTGAAGAGGTCGTGTCTTAATATCGGTAATCTTATCATTTGTAAATAAAAAATAATACAATTCTTATAATGTTACATATGCGATAAGAGGTGGTGTTTTTAAGTGTTATCGGTCAAAGTCAAATTATGTAGTGGTAACAAGTGCGAATGGAAGGTAATACTAATCGGGAGGTAATTTGGAAGTTATGTTGTAAGAATGCCAGGAGCTACTTTAGTAATAAAGTTTTAAAAGTTTTTACAATGCTGAAATTGTCAGAAACTTTCGCTTGATTCAAAATGTACTGCGTAATTTTTTTCTGAATTCAACAGGTCTGGATTCTTGTTCTATGAATATGAAATATGAGGTGAAAGATAATTCCTTTATAAACATTTTTTTTGAAAAATTTTCCCCCTTTATGGAACACGAATTGGGGTCCAGAGAAGATTCACATGAAACTATCATAATTATACTCTCAGCCATACGGCTAGAGAGGATATATGTTATTAGATACGACCAAAACGTATCTCGTCAAAATAATGGCTTTAGACCCTTTATCACTTTGGACCAAATCCGTTTCAGGACATTTGGAGTCGATCTATCGATGTACCTTCGTCCGTCTCTCTGGCTGGCTGGTGCGCACGATAACTCTCAAAGGGAGTACCCGATTTGGTTAACCTTGAAACATCGTAATATTATTATCATACATAAATCGAGTTCGTAATTCACCCACGAAATTTCCAAAAAAAATATTTTACTGCACAGGAAAGGAAAGGTACTCCAATTTTGTTCCAACTTAGCAAATCCTAATATTTACATTAGTGCAAAGTCAGGTGCGAAAATTGACAATATCGGTTCACTCCATCAAAAACCTCCCCCACAAGGGGTCAAAATTTTGAATACCCATGAAGCTCATAAAACGAGAAATTAACATTCGATTCCATTCAAACTTGGCACATCTCAATATTTCCATACAAAAAGATTTGCTATAAAAATGGTAGAGATCGGAGCATTCCTTCCGGTACTTTCCCAGAAAGGGTCATAATATTGAACCAAAACGATTATACATTCCGAAATAAGCTTTCGATTCTCTTCATATTTCACACATCCCAATATTTCTACTAACACACGGTCTGCTGTGAACATGCGATATATCGAACCACTCTTTCTGGTACCTCCCCCACAAAGGTTCAAAATTTTGAATATCCATGAAGCTCATAAAACACGAAAATAGCATCCGATTCCATTCAGACTTGGCACATCTCAATATTTTTTTCATAAAATGAAGGAAGTAACGAATTAATATAGTCCAACCTAGCACGTCGCAATATTTATACCATATTTATTTAGGTCCGATATAAAATGGACAATATTGGCCCATTCCTTTGGAGCCTACTCCATAGAGGGTCAACAATTTGAATAGTCATAAAAGAAGTCAAAATATATTTAAATAATCGAACATTGGGTATACATCTATCGGATAAACCAACTGACATTTTTAATTGTTTTTTTTTTTCAATTTTAATAGAGACAATGTCCGTGGAACAAGAATTGGGGCCCTGAGCAAATTCGTATGAATTTTTTTTTATGAGCTCTAAATTTGTTTATTTTTTCTAATTTTTTTAATATATTTATGAGCTCTTTCTGTCCACTCATCTTGATCTGCAGCTCAAATAATTCCATTAAATCGTTATTGGCAGAGTGCATATATCTATCTGTCAGCTATATACATTTTAAATTCCTTAAATCTTTATCATAATTTAACAATGATAATAAGCTTCATTACTTTTTTTTTTCAAATCCCATATTGCCCTTCAAATGGTAAATAACAGTCAATGATATCTCATGGCCGTTTCCCATTGTGTTTTCCTATAACAATATTATCGACGGCATCACACAAATATAATCCCCGTTTATGTGTATGCCAAAAATAGGAAATATGCTTAAACAGAAAAATATTTATAAAACTTTGTAATCAAAACAACGTATTAGGGGTACTCACTTAGAAATTATGAATGGTTATTTTATAAGATGGGCTCTATAAGATACCTGGTACCAAATACCATTATTGTGTAGTGCATATTACGAATGTTAGGGACTTCAAACCCCAAATCGGATGAAACATATATATGGGAGCTGAAGCTATATCTGAACCGATTTTCACCAAATTAGAAGTTCTTGCTTCTAAACTCAATTCGGTAGGATGTACCAAACTTCAGGTCATTTGGGCTGGTGCACAAATACATCGAAATCGGTTGAAAATATATATAGGAGCTATATCCAAATCTAACCCGATCTTGTTAAAATTAGCAGAGGTTAGCAGAGGTATTTCTGAAATGTAGCAGATATCTGGTACCAAAGAATATTGTTGTAAAGTGCATATTACGCATGTGAGGGACTCAAAATCCCAAATCGGATGAAACATATATATGGGAGCTATAATTATATCTGAACCAATTTTCACCAAATTTGATGTATTTGCTTCTACACTGAATTCGGTTGGATTTGCCTAAATTCAGGTCGTTTGGACTGATATTAGTCATTTGATGCACATTTAACCCGAAATCGGTTGTAGATATATAAGGGAAATATATCTTAATTTGACATTTGTAACACATTGAAATAACAATTTTATACCCCAAAAAGTATATAGCATAAAAATCTATGTCGATTTAACTATGGCCGTCCGTCTGTCCGTGAATTGTTTAAGAACTTAATCTTGTAAGCTCTGCATTTTTCGAATTTTTAATATTTTTTCTCACACTATCCGTTTTTAGTGTTTTAAAGTTTGATTTCCTTGGTATCCCACAGCTAAAGAATTTTTCCTTGGACTTTTTTTCCTGATTCTTTTATGGACACAGAGAGTCCATACCCTATATAAATCACCTCAACATGAATATCGCCGGGTTGTTATATTCTCTTGAGATCATTCCTCCAATCATTAATAATTGTGGATAAAACAAATAAAAACCAGTAAAGAAAGCCTTAAAGTCGGACGGGACCGACTTTATGACACCCTACACCACTTTGCTAATTTAGTAGAGCTCCGCATAACAATTAAAAGTTTTTGTGGGAGAATTTAATCATACACGCTATGAATATAAATATAATTTAAAGTTCAAAGGACTAAATATGCCGAAGCATTTGTATCTTTTAAATTCGGACTTGTATTTCCCATTTGGTGCACAATTAATTTGAAATCGGATAAAGATATATATGGGAGCTATATCCAAATCTGAACCGATCTCGGTAAAATTTGGCAAAGACATTTCTGAGCTGTGTTTGATATATTTCATTGAATATCGTTGTTACGGAGTGCATATTACGGCTGTGGGTAAGAAATATAATAGATCGGATGACCAAATTTGACATACTAGCTTCTGGACTCAATTCGGTAGTAAGTGCCAAATTCCCTCCCATTTGGACAAATATTAGACGTTTGGTGCACAATAAAAGGTAAATCGGACGAAGTTATACATGGGGGCTATATTCAAATTTGAACCGATCTCAACAAAATTTAGCAAATATATTTCTGAGCTGTATTTAATAAATTTCCCCGTATATTGTTGTTACGGAGTACATATTTTGGCCGCGGAGGACAAAAATAGCAAATCGGATGAACAATATATATGGGAGCTATAGCTATATCTGAACCGACTTCGATCAAATTTGACATACTTATTTTCAGGCCTAATTTGGTTGTATGTGCAAAATTCCATATTATTGGGGCCGATATTACACGTTTGGTGCACAATATATGGCAATCGGACGAAGATCAATAGGGTTCGTCCTTGGGCCTAACAAATTATTTGTGCAAAATTTCATCTGGATAGGGCAATAAATGCGAACTGTACTTTGTTTACAAAAATACATGGACAGACGGACGGATAGACGGACAGACAGACGGACGGCTAGACGGACAGACAGACGGACGGATAGACAGACAGACGGACATGCATAAATAGACTCAGAATCTGATTCTATGAAGATCATCAAAAGGAACTATGGGTCTATCTCGTTTCCTTTTGCCTGTTACAAACAAATGCACAAAGACATAATAAACATAAAGTTCGGCCAGGTCGAACTTTTAATACCCTCCACCATTGAGTAAAGAAACCTTTCTTATATTAAGCCTATATAAACTGTAAATACCAGTAAGACCGTTTCGATAATGCTGTTAATATTTTCAGAGAAACCATAAAATGGATGAGCCCATAACATGGGGGCCATACCAAAACGGGAACCTCCATAGAAAATTTTATACTTCGAGGATTGCCATCTAATAAATCTTCTTAAATACCAAATTTGAAACAATTTCGTGGGTAAATGTGACTAAGATTATCAAAATACAGTACGTTGGTGGGTATCGTTATATGTGAGCTATAGGAAAACGTGGACCTAAATATTCAATGTTCGGCCACCGGAGCTAGAACCCATTATGAACTACAAATACCAATTTTTAGATAAATCCGTGAAAAAAATGTGGCAACAATTGTCAAAACACCGAATATCGGGAGGTACTGTTATACCAAAACGTGGACCCATATATACTATGTTCCGCCTCCGGAGCTGGAGACCATTACAAACTACAAATACCAATTTTAAAACAAATATGTGGTAAAATCAAGCAAAAATCATCCATATACCGAATATCGGGAGTTACCGTTATATGGGGGCTATACAAAATCGTGGATCTATACATACAGTGCTTCGTTCCCTATTATGACCTACAAATACAAATTTTTAGACAAACTACCGAATATCGGAAGGTATGGCGGCTATACCAAAACGTGGACCGGTATATCTCATTTTCAACACCAATCATCCTAGACCCAGTACAAATTGTTCTGTCTACTCTACGTCAGATAATGTGGACTGTATCGTGATTTCAACAGACAGAGGGACATCTTTGACTCAACTCAGAATTTTATGCTGATCATGAATACATATACTTTATGGGGTCCATGAGGAATATATAGGGATGTTACAAACGGAGTGACAAAGTTAATATACCCTCCTTTTTCAGCATAACAAGAAAATAAATCCTCTCTGGTCTATCGATATTTTATGATTTCGGTCTGTTCTTCTTTATTTTAAATACATTTTTTTGCTCTACCTGGTCATGCCGATTACTGGAGATTTTTTTCTGGGACAAACTATTTTATACCCTACACCATAAGGTGGTCAGGGTATTATGTCTTTGTGCATTTGTTTGTAACAGACAAAAGGAAACGCGATAGACCCATAGTTCCTTTTGATGATCTGCATAGAATCACATTCTGAGTCGATTTATGCATGTCCGTCCGTCCGTCTGTCCATGTATTTTTGTAAACAAAGTACAGATCGCATTAATTGCCCGATCCAAATGAAATTTTGCACAAATCATTTGTTTGGCCCAAGGACGAACCCTATTGAAATTGGAGATAATCGGTCAAAATTTAGATATAGCTCCCATATATATCTTTGTCCGATTTGTCTTTTATTGTGCACCAAACGTGTAATATCAGCCCGAATTGTATGGAATTTTGCACATACAACCAAATTAGGCCTGAAAATAAGTATGCCAAATTTTATCGAAATCGGTTCAGATAAAGCTATAGCTCCCATATATATTGTTCATCCGATTTGTTATTTTTGTCCACCGCTGCCGTAATATGCACTCTGCAACAACAATATTTGGGGAAATATATCAAATACAGCTCGGAAATACATTTGCCAAATTTTATCGAGATCGGTTCAGATTTGGATATAGCTCCCATATATAACTTCGTCCGATTTGCCTTTTATTTGGCACCAAACGTCTAATATTTGTCCAAATGGGATGGAATTTGGCACTTACTACCGAATTGAGTCTAGAAGCTAGTATATCAAATTTGGTGAAGATCGGTTCAGATATAGCTATAGCTCCCATATATATTGTTCATCCGGTTTGTTGTATTTGTTACCCACAGCCGTAATTTGCACTCCGTAACAACGATATTCAGGGAAATATATCAAATACAGCTCAGAAATATCTTCGCCATATTTAATCGAGATCGGTTCAGATTTGGATATAGCTCCCATACATATCTTTATCCGATTTCAAATTAATTGTGCACCAAATGGGCAATGCAATTCCGAATTTAAAAGATACAAATGCTTCGCCATATTTAGTCCTTTGAACTTTAAATTATAATTGTAATCATAGCGTGTATGATTGAATTCTCCCATAAAAACTTTTAATTGTTATGCGGAGCTCTACTAAATTAGCAAAGTGGTGTAGAGTATCATAAAGTCGGCCCCGCCCAACTTTAAGACTTTCTTTACTGGTTTAAATACAGTACCATACTGTCTCTTTAAACATGTTGAAAGTGAGTACCCTGTATTCATTCGTTAGAAGCCAAACATATTTTTGTAAGGGCAACGTAAAATTCATTGGTCTTATCTTGCTGAACCCACACACATACACACACTCAGAATATTAATGGAATTAGTTTTCAAATGATAAGATAAACCTCACGTCGTATTGACGGTCCAACACTTGTTGGAAATGCTTGTCAAAATTCATGTTTACTTTTTATAAACATTGATAAGAACAGCTAATCAATTTTGTTTGCAAAAAGCAACGCATCTTACCCTTTCCATTCCACCCCTCTGTACTAACAGGAACACTTAATCCACTGTGGTCAAGTATTGGAACAATGTCCCAATACCTGTAACGTTTTTGTGCCACGCATACGCATGCGTGCCCACCTGAAAGAGTGTCCGCGTAACAAACGTCGTAGTGCCAGTGCTGATCGTGTAGATCAACAGGTCGACTATCGAGTGCAGGTGGTGGAGAATGAAATAAATACCCTACGTTCGGTATTGAATGAGGAAATACGGCAGCGTTTGCATTTGATTACCGATGTGGGAAATCTGCGAAAGCAAAATCAGGTCATCGATGATTGGCAGCAGAGCACCAATCAAAGTTTAAAATCCCTGCAAAATCGTCTGGACGAGGAGAATACACAGAGGACATTTGAGGTGGAACAGTGCCAGCAGGATTTTCGTTGTTGTTTCGATACTGTACAGGTTGGTTCAACATCAACAAACATATAAACACACACACACACACACATTTATTTTTTATTTGTTTCTGTAGTCCTTAAAGAGGGAGATTCAAAATGAAATCGACGATCTGGAGAAACACATCAATCAAATGTCCTTGGAACTAACCCAACATCAAAATCATTTGAACGACAACATCATGAAACTGGAGGAGACGGTGTTGTTGCATGAAAAAATTAACAGGTTGATGGGCCCCCTCTTGCCGACTGCTAAATGACAAAGCAATAAACAAATGTCAATTTTTTCTTCTCCTTCTTCTTCTTTGACAGGGATAAATTTATTGAAATTGAAAATTACCTGCAATCAATCAATTTGGATTTAAATGCCAAACTTGGTCCCGAACACGATGTGGCCAAATATGCTGCCTTGGATCTGGAAGTGAAGGGCATGAAACACATTGTCTGTGACACGGAAGAGCGTTGTGATAAGTTGGAGACCCTAGTCAGCCAGATTGATCGGAATTTACATCATACCATGCAACTGGTAAATGATTTGGAGAATCACATTGCCACCCAGCAGCGTTTGACGAGCTATATTAATAGTAGAGGTAGGAAAGAGCTGTAAGAGATATCACATAAAAAGTTCACCATAAATAGGGACAGGGTCTATAAAAGAGCCAACATTCTCCGGCTCGTCGATAAAAGAGACGAGCTCCTTCGGCTCGTCTATAAAAGAGACGAGCTCCTCCGGCTCGTCTATTAAAGAGATGGCCTTCTCCGGCTCGTCTATAAAAGTGATGAGGTCCTGCGGCTCGTCTATAAAAGTGATGAGGTCCTGCGGCTCGGGTATAAAAGTGATGAGGTCCTGTGGCTCGTCTATAAAAGAGACAACCTCCGGATCGTCTATAAAAAGAGACGACCTCCTCCGTCTTGTCCATAAAATAGACGACCTGCTTCGGCTCGTCCATAAGTAAGACGACCTCCTCCAGCTCGTCCATAAAAATACAGGACCCCCTCCGGCTCGTCTATAAAAAGAGACGACCTTTTCCGGCTCGTCTATAAAAAGAGACGACCTCCTCCAGCCCGTGTATAAAACGAGACGACTCCTCCGGACCGTCTATAAAACGAGACGACCTCATCCGGCTCGTCTATAAAAACAGACGACCCCCTCCGACCCGTCTATGAAACGAGACGACCTCCTCCGGCTTGTCTATAAAGGAGACGACCTCCTACGACTCGTCTATAAGGACGACCTCTGGCTCGTCTTCGAAGACGACCTCTGGCTCGTCTTCAAAGACGACCTCTGTCTCGACTTCAAAGACGACCTTTGGCTCGTCTTCAAAGACGACCTCTGGCTCGTCTTCACAGGCGACCTCTGGCTCGTCTTCAAAGACGGCCTCCGGGTCATCTATAAAGACGACCTCGTCTATAAAGACGACCTCCGACATCCGGCTCGTCTATAAAGACGACCTCCGACATCCGGCTCGTCTATAAAGACGACCTCCGACATCCGGCTCGTCTATAAAGACGACCTCCGACCTCCGGCTCGTCTATAAAGACGACCTCCGACCTCCGGCTGGTCTATAAAGACGACCTCCGGCACGTCTATAAAGACGACCTCCGGCACGTCTATAAAGACGACCTCCGGCTCGTCTATAAAGACGACCTCCGGCTCGTCTATAAAGACGACCTCCGGCTCGTCTATAAAGACGACCTCCGGCTCGTCTATAAAGACGACCTCCGGCTCGTCTATAAAGACGACCTCCGGCTCGTCTATAAAGACGACCTCCGGCTCGTCTATAAAGACGACCTCCGGCTAGTCTATAAAGACTACCTTCAGCCCCCTGGAGAATCGTATATATAATCCATTCTTTCAAGTTTGACAATGTGGGATTTATTCCCAGTCTTTTCTTTGATTCTTTCCGATTTTCATTTATAACCTCATCTCAATCATTAATTTCAAAGAACTATTTCAACACAAATTATAAAAACATATTTTTCATCGCCCCAAGGCCACTTGCTTTGGAGAATAAAAGACTTTTCGAAAAAGTTTGAGGAAGCTCGCCAGTATGACACAATTTTGCACAGTGCCATGTTTTCCAACAAACCTTTCGGCTATGCTTTAAGAGTGAGTACAAAATTTAAATAATTTAAAACTCTCAACAATAAAATGAAATACTTTGCAGCTGGACATCTACTTGAATGGCAAGGGCACGTGGAAGGGACGTAACATGATAGCCTGCCTCAATGTGATAGCCGGAGAATATGATCCCCTACTGCCATGGCCATGCCGCCTGCAGGCCGATGTAATTATTCGAGATCAAACCATAAATGCCACCAATCCTGAGGATTATGTTAAAACGGTTATGGTACGAAAGAAAAGTGATGATTACATTCAGACAAAACAATTCTTTTATATTCCACACACGATATTGAAACAATCGAATTATATAAAAAATGACAGTCTCTTTGTGGAAGTAAGGATTTTGAAATAAAAAAAATATTTTTTATTAGATTTTTATTTTAATATATTATTGTAGAATTTGTGTATATATATTTTCTATTAAAAATGACAATAGAGCAATATGAAAATTTATGGTTTTGATTGAGACTACTCACAGGGTGTCTACGATATCCACCCTGTATTAATTTCATACTTAAGCGAAGACAAGAACCATACATAATAAAAGCTTTGACAAAAAAAACGTTACTATGTTTACACACATTCGTCACACAATTTTTAATCGCTCTTCGCTTCTTTGTGACACAGATTTTCTGAGGTTAAAGCATTTCTTCTTGATATAAATATTTTAAATTAACAATACTGAAAAATAGAACAGTGTGGCTTGTTTGTTCGGGATACCGTAGTATTTTGTTTTTGCAAAATGGTCTGGCTTTATCCCTTTATTGTTGTTTTTATAAAAAAAAAATTTCATCAGACTCCTTAAAATTTGGAGCAAATTTAAATTTGTATATAACCAGTAAGGAAAAGTCAAAATTCTGGCGGGGCCGACTATATGATTACCTACACCACTATGCATATTTACTAGAGCTCCTGTAACAAAAGAATTTATTTGAAGTAGATCACACCTCCTATCAACCTTAGGATATAGATCAGTTATAATTTGGTTCCAAAGGGAACGAATATTTGGGAGGCATATCCAATTCTGAATTGATTTTCACTAAATTTGACAGAGACATTTTAATCTTTTATACCAAATAACATTGATATAAAGTGCATGATATCACTTGGAGAAGGATTATATTAAAAAATATATAACGGAACCTAGCCAAATGGAAATGTACGTCCCAAAATTCACTCCATTTGGGCTGATATTAGCCATTATTTACAAAATTAACCTGAAATCGGATTAAAAATATAGCAAAGGCATTTTCGAGCTCTATAAGATATCTGGTACCAAATATTATTGTTGTCGAATGCATGTTACGAATGTGAGGGACTTAAAGACCAAATCGCATGAAACATATATATGGGAGCTATAGCTATATCTGATATATAATATAATCCAAATTTGATGCACTTGCTTCTAGACTGAATTCGGTCGGATTTACCAAAACCAGGACTTTCGGACAGATATGTGCCATTTGGAGCAAAATGAACCCGAAATCGATTGAAGATATATATTGGAGATAAATTTAAATCTAATCCGATCTTGATAAAATTTTGCAGGGGTATTTCCGAGCTCTATAAGATATCGGGTATCGGGTATATATTGCTGTCGAATGCATATTACAAATGTGAGGGACTTAAACACCAAATCGACTGAAACATATACATGGGAGCTATAGGTATATCTGAACCGATTTTCATCAAATTTAATGTACTTGCTTCTAGGTTGAATTCGATCGGATGTGCCAAAATTCAAGTCATTTGGACTGATATTGGCCAATTGATTCACAATTAACTCGGAATGTGTTGAAATGAATATGGAAGCTATATCCAAATCTGAACCGATCTTGATAGAATGTGGCAGGGGTATTTATGGGCTCTATCTGATATCTGGTACCAAATATCATTTTTGTGGGATGCGTATTACGAATGTGAGGGACTTAAACTCCTAATAGCTATATCTGAACCGATTTTCACAAAATTTGGTGTATTGCTTCTAGACTGAATTCGGTCGGATTTGCCAAAATTCAGATCATTTGGTTTGATGTTGGTGCACAATTGACCTGAAATTGGTTGAGGATATATATCGGACGTATATCTAAATTTTGACCGATTATTTCCAATTTCAAAAGGGTTCGTCCTTGGTTAAAACAAATATTGTTTGAAAAATGTTATCTCAATCGGATAAAAAATGCGATCTGCACAAAAATATATGGACAGACGAACGGACTGGCATGCATAAATCGACTCAGAAAGTAATTCTATGAAGCTCCTCAAAAGTAAGTATTGGTCTATCTCGCTTCCTTCTCCATGTTTACAAACAAATGCACAAAGACATAATACCCTTACCACTTGTGGTGTGGGGTATAAATAGCGGAATGTTGGAAGGGAATCGGATGTTTATTTCGCATTTTTGGAGATTTTTGTTATTCAAAAATTTTACCCTCTGTGAGGAACGAGTTGTTCGATATATTCCATCTTCACAACAGATCTGGTGTTGATAGAATTATTTAGATATCCTGAGTTTGAAAGGAATCAGTTGCTCATTTCGTGTCTTATGAACTTCATGGTTATTCACAAATTTGACTCGTTGTGGCGGAGGCACCAGAAGGATTGGACAAGTATTGATTATCTCCCATTATAAGGTATCATATTTGAACCAAATCGGATACTTTCTTTCGAGAGTTATCGTGCACACCAGCTAATCAAACGGACGGACTCCCCTAAATCGACTCCAAATGCCCTGAAAATGATTTGATGATCTTGATTTTGATGAGGAACGGTATAGCCGTATGAAATGATATATACCCTCGGAAGAAAACAGCAACATCAGCAGAAATTATTATTATATATTATTATTATAAAGTAAAGAAGCGACTTGATCGAAACCCGCGGCGCAGTGGCCGAATAATGGCTCGTGAGCTGAAAACATCGCAATATTCCATTCGGCAAATATTGAAAAATGAGCTCGGGTGGTAAATCCATTGAAATTCCAAAAAGTGCAAGAACGTACAACGCAACTGAAAGAAAATAGACCCAAAGAGTTGCTTCGCTTGGCGGAAAGTGGTGCACTGCCGAATTTGGTTTTTTACGCTCCGATGAGAAAACATTCGTTGTCCAGCAGTTTGTAAACCAACAAAATGATCGTGTGTACTTGCCAAAGAGTTCAGCTGAAAATGTGCACCTTCGGTTGGCCACCAGAACTCAAACGCCGGCCATGGTGAGGGCAGTGATGGTGTGATCCGCCATAACAGCCGATGGTCGCTATTCGCTCTCCGGGTGTATTAAAGCCTTGGGCAAGCAAGCATTTTGGCCGCAGACCTTTGACATTCCAACAGGACTCAGTACAATCGCACTCAGCACGCGCCACCCAAGAATGGTTACAAAATGAGGTTCCTCGCTTCATTTCCAGCGCACAATGGCCACCAAAATCTCCCGATACCAATCCGTTGAATACCATAATTCCTGCCAAAGGTGACCAATTCGAACAAATCTACACTTATTCTAGAATTTGATGCTATTTCCGACATTTTTTGCTTTCATTCAATAAAATTAAAAAAAATGTAAAAAATATGGCGTTTGTCTATGTTGCAGTTTTTTAATCTCAACCTGTATATCTGCGAACCCCTTCTGATACCTCACCCACAAAGGGTCACAATTTTCAATATTTTATCTCTCATAACTTGTGAAACAAGTCAGCGATTCTTTACAACTTGCCATATCTAAATATTTGTCTCAACCAAAAAACCTGAGATGAATATAAAATTTATTATTTCGCATAGAATTTTATATAAATGTTCGCTTTTCTGATTTCTAATATTTTTCTGTATTAGGCAGAATATAACTGGTACTTCACCCACATTTTTAATAATTTCTAAGAATTATCACATTGTATCTCATATAGAGTGAAGGAAGTAGTCGATATAGTTCAAACCTGGCACGTCGCAATATTTATGTCATATTTACTTAGGTCCGATACGAAATGGACAATATTAGCCCATTCCAGAGCGGAGGGTCAATGTTCCATTATTTAAATATATTTTGCTTCTGTTATGATTATTCAAATTGTAGACTCTCTAGAGAATAGCTGCCGAAGGAATGTCAAAACCGACTGAAACTTTTCAATTTTTTAAACCCTCAACCATACTATGGAGGGTATATTCATTTTGTCATTCCGTTTGTAACTCATCGAAATAATGATCCTAGACCCAACAAAGTATATATATTCTTGATCAGCGTAAAATTCTAAGACGATTTAACCATGTGCGTCTGTGTGTCTGTCTGTCTGTTGTAATCACGCTATATTTCGAACGAATTGAGATAGCAGGCTAAAATTTTGCACACATGTCTATTTTGCCAGGCAGGTTAAGTTCGTAAATGGGCCATGTAGGTCCACATTTTCATATAGCCCTCATATAACGGTACCTCCCGATATTCGGTATTTTGATGATTTTAGCGACATTATTCACCGGATTTGTCATATATTATATGTATTTTGCATTTGAAGTTCGAAATGGATACTACAGCCAGAGACAGAAAATTGACTGTGCAAGTCCACGTCTTCGTATAGCCCCCATATAACGGTACCTCCCAATATTCGGTATTTTGACGAGTTTAGTGTCATTATTCACCAGAATTGTTTCAAATTACGTATTTAGAGTTCGTAATGGGAACTACAGTCTGTGACAGAAAATTGTCTATACAGGTCCAGGTCTTCGTATAGGCCCATATATCAGTACCTCCCTACATTCAGTATTTTGACGAGTTTAGGTACATACCTACCGAAATTGTTTGAGATGTCGTATTTGAAGTTCGTAATGGATGCTACAGCCTATGAAAGAAAATTGTCTATGCTGGTGCAGGCCTTCGCTCAGCTTCGATATAACGGTACCTCCCTATATACGATATTTTGATGATTTAAGCTACATTATTCACCGTTTATTTCAAGTTTCGTATTTTAATATGGTAGGACTTCCTTCTGTTTGTTTTCCTGAAAGAGAATTGTTTATATAGTTTCACGAAATCTTATAATATTTATGTAACGGTACCTGACGATATTTCGTATTTTGATGATTGTAGCCACATGTTTGACCGGAATTGTTTAAAATTTCGTATTTAGAGTTCGTAATGCGTATTACAGCCTATGACGGAAAATTGTATATGCAGGTCCACCTCTTAGTATAGCAAACATATAACGGTACCTCCCTTTATTCGATATTTTGATGATATTAGCGACATTATTCAACGGAATTGTTTCAAATTTTGAATTTGAAGTTCGGAATTGGTACACAACCTATGACAGAAAAAAATACTTATACAGGATTACGTCTACGTATAGCACCCATATTACGGATTTCATTTAAGTGGCATTTTTCAACGGATTTCTTTGATATTATTTAAGATCCTTCAAAGAGGTGGAGAATATTAAAAGTTCAGCCCGGCCGAACTTAGCTGGGTTTTTAATTGTTAATAATTCCAATGATAATTTCCCCTTTCAAATTGTCACCAAGAGACTTTCTCATTATTTCTTTCCCTTCCTCCTCATGCACATCCATATTTAAAATGACTCAATATTTGTGGTTTTTAACATAGTTTTTATTGTATTTAGGTATGTATATTTTTAATGAACATTATGACAATACAACAGCTAGAAAAAGACACTGTCGCGAGATTTCATTGGAGGATTATTGTATCAAAAGTGGCATTAAATGCAATAATTATTTTTTGTAGAATTTTTTAATGGTTAAAGTCAAATACTCTTTAGTTATAACAATTATGGGATTGCAAAGCAATTTAATTGATTGTTTTTAGGAATAATAGTACAGTACATTTAAATATATATTATGGGTATGATTTCAACATTTTAAAATAACTCTTCAGGGAATACAAACAAATATATATTTTTATGGAAAATTTCAAAAATTGTTTTTTTTATAAAATCTTCTTTTGTCACTGGTATTATATTACAAAATATATTGAAAAGTTGTTTTTTTTATAAGCATGTAAAAGTTTTGTTTTTAGAAAAATACTTAGATTTCATATCAAATGTTTTTTTTTTTTGTTTTTTTGTGAAAAATATTCGATTGTGATTAATGTCAACATTAAAATATCATTTTATTCTTTCTCTCCCTTTCAAAATGGACTTCTTCCCTTAAAAAAAATATATTTCGTATAACATTACTCCATTTCAGGTTTTAAGAATTTGAACGTTGTTCGCCCACCAAGGCATACAGGGCATGTTTGTAGTGACCCGATGTGTCACCCTTAATCCAGCTCTTTAGACTCTTGCCGTACATACGCTCAAAGGCAGCCTTAATATCGGCCATATCGATCTGTGTGGAAAAAAAATTAAATATTAATTCTTGTGTTCCATTAATTGGATAGTTTATTTCTTCATAATTACCTCACACCGGGTGATAATCACACGTATCAACTGCTTGTCATTGGTCCCAATGCCAGCCATACTCTTGTGTAGACGTGAGGCAAAATATTCAGCCTTGTTGTTGACACAACGACAAATGGCAATTAGGCCTTCCATTATATCACCGGAGAATTCCTTTTTAATTGCCTTCTCCAGCGAGTGACCGGTCATTGTTTCATACTCTTGGAAAATCTGAAAGTACATAAAAAATAAATTATTAAATAATAATTTTTTCTTTGACAAAATATATCTTTGAAATTTGGCATAAGTACTGAAGCGTTTTTTTTTTCAATTTTTCCGAACAATGCCTTACCAATTTCAATTGTTGATAGTTACGTTGGCACAAAATCATATTGAACATGCTCTCATCGGTGCCGACACGCAACTCACCAGCCTTGAGCAATTCACGGGCATCACTCTGGGCAGCAGCACGGTCAACATGACCGCTTTCATCGCGGGCCGCAGTGCACAGCGAGACCAAGAGACGTTTGAAATTTCCCGATGTTTCGGATTTCAATTCCGATTCCAAATGGGCACCATATACTACAAAATAAAACAATAAAATTTATTTAAGGTTTCAACTTTTTATCTTGAAATCCCAAAAACTTACATCTTAAATATTGATTTTTAATCGTGTGAATCTCATGATTCGATAGAGTACATAAAATTTCAATGAGCACATCTTCATCAGTGCCAATGCCAGCCATGGCATCGTTCAGCTCATGACAATAGTAATCGACAATGGGACGCAAAAGGCCAACCAACAGTTTTTCGAAATTTCCGCTTGTCTCGGAGCGAATGTCCTCAATAAGATCTTTGCCAAAGTGGGTTTTATACTGACGTTGGATTTCCTAAAAATAAATAAAATATTAAAAATTTAGCAAAATAAATAAAATTAGGATATTTTTTCATACCTGTCTCTGTTCATTGGAACGACGGCAAATGATGTTGATAAGGGCATCCTCATCGGTGCCAAAGCCTTTCATGGCCTTGCGTAAGTCATGGGCATCCTTGACGGGATCAAAGTTTTGGGCTGGGAATACAGTTGGGGTTCCCTATGATACAAAAAATTAGAAATAAATAAATAAAATATATTAAAATATTGTAGCGGATTTGAAGAAAATTTATTCTGGCTTTTAAATATCTACTTAGTAATTAAAGATTTACAAATTTACATTAGTATACATTTTTTCATAGCAAAATATTATAGGACATTTTAAGAATACTATGAGAGGTTAAAATAATTTTTAATTTATAAATACACAAGACCTGTTCCAGAGCTGCAAGATTGTAAAAAAATTTCACCGGTGACCTTTTTACTTTTATGACCGATTTTCTATTTATGAAAATTGCAAGAAAGTAAATTCCTACAGGTTCTGGAACAGAGAAACATATATTGGGGAACTATATAACCATTTATACTTGGGGTTGGAATACATTACACAAAAAAGAGGTAAAATTTAATAAAGTTTTGAAATTACAATAAATCTGCCTTTGGGAGTTGGGACAGATTTTTGGAGAAGTGATACAGCTATCCAACCAACCCAAAGTTTATAACCAAATTAACCCTCGTAGAAAATTCTATATGGAGAATGTATTGAAAACATCCATCCTCTATCCACTGAAGGCCTATAGATGAACCAATAAAAGATCCAATGAAAGTTACGTTCTATAGAAGAGCCTAAGAAAGTATTTTATCTCTAAATCTATTTTTTTCTTTTTTTTCTATTGATCTACCTTTCGCTCTGTAGAAGAAGGTAGTAGCAAGGTAGATAGCCCGTCAAGTGATTGACTGACTGACTTAATGATTCATCAACCCCTAGACGAAATGGCTAAAGCTAGTATCTTTGTGGTCACTCTTGGTCCGCAGGTGTCAGATAAGGCCGGGTTTTTGTAAATTCGTACTACAACGGTACGAAAAGTACTAAATTTGTACTCTTTTTATTTGACGAATAATAGAGTTACAACTATTAAATTTGGAATGAGGACCACTGATAAAGTGTATGATGAATGTACCAAACCAAGTGTAAGAAAGTACTAAAATATGCTATATTTAGTACCATTTCGTATCATGTGAACAGTTAGAGCTAAAAACTTGAAATTCGGAATGGGAAGCCAGGTTGAGCAGTAGGGTCGATGTAAGGAGGTAATTTTTAGAAGTATGTACTCCTGTTTACGAAAAGTACTAAACGGTGCCAAATTTTGGTACAATTTGAATTTGGAGGAATGGATGGAGCTGAAATTTAACAGAGTGTAGGATTGGGATATGGAGGGAGTTTTCGAAATTTGTACTTATGTCCACGAAAAGTAATAAATGATACTAAATTTGGTACAATTTCAATTTAGGGGGAACCAATAGAGCTAGTAGAAATTTGATAATAAAATCACTATTGCATTGTAGGACTGAGATACGTAGATAGTTTTGGAAATACGTACTTAGCTGTATTAAATGGGACTAAATTTGGTACAATTTAAATTTTGGGAGAAGCGATAAAGTTGTTGTTCTGAAAATTGGAATTAATAAGGAAGTTTTGGATTTGGTTGAACCGAACCAGAAATTGGGAAATTAGATTTCTATTGGATTGTATGATGCAGATTGTTATGCAAATATGTACTTATGTGTACTAAATGGTACTAAATAGGTCTTTCAGTGAGGTGAGTTTCTTAATAACGGAGATAAATCAGAGAAGCATTTAATCACTTTGAAATGTTGGTCCGACATTTATATTACCCGAATAGGTCCACGTTTTGGTATGGCCCCCATATACCGTTACTCCCTAATTTTCAGTATTTTGAATGTTTTATCCACAATGAAAGCCACAATGTGGTAACATGAGGGAATTATTTTAAGTGGACCTGTTTTTTTTTTAATCCCCAAAAAGTCGAAAATGGCCCCATATTTCGAGTTCACAAAATGTATGCCAAATTATTGTTTGGTGAAGGCCGACTATCAAATTTAGAAAAAAAAAAATTGGTTCACGTAGCCGGTGTTGGGCATAGCCAGAGGAGAAAATCTCACGCCCTGGCCGAAGTCTTGCAATCCAAAACAGCATCAAATTAAAAACAGCATAAAAAAAAACAAGTTAAAAAGCAGTGATTTCGGCCGGGCCAAACTTTGAATACCCTCAACCATTTGGAACAAATTTAGAAATTTTCAAAAAAAAAATTCTGTTAACATTTTAAAAATACAGAATATAGCCGTTATATTTAGGTCTATACGACGTGGACCTACCTATAGGCATTGTTTGTCATAAGCCATTACCATATTCAAATTCGAAACTTGAAATAAACGGTGAATAATGTAGCTAAAATCATCAAAATATCGCATATGGAGGTACCGATATATCGGAGCTGTGCGAAGACCTAGACCAGCATTGACAATTTTCTGTCACAGGCTGTAGCATCCTTTACGAACTTCAAATACGACATCTCAAACAATTTCGGTAGGTATTGTACCTAAACTCATCAAAATGCCGAATATAGGGAGGTACTGATATATGGGGCCTATACGAAGACCTGGACATGCATAGATAATTTCCTGTCACAGACTTTAGTTCCCATTACGAACTCTATATACGTAATTTGAAACAATTTCGGTAAATAATGACGCTAAAATCATCAAAATACCGAATATTGGGAGGTACCGTTATATGGGGGCTATACGAAGACATGGACCTGCACAAACAATTTTCTGTCATGGCTAAAGTATCCATTACGAACTTCACATGCGAAATTTGAAACATTTCCGGTTAAAAATTTCGCTAAAATCATCAAAATACCGAATATATAGGGAGGTACCGTTATATGGTGGCTATACAAAGACGTTGGCCTGAACAGACAAATTTTTGTCTCAGGCTGTAGTATCGATTTCGAACTTCAAATGCCAAATTTGAAACAATTTCTGTTAATAATGTAGCTAAAATCATCAAAATACCTAATACAGGGAGGTAACGTTATATGGGGGCTATCTAAAAAAGGTGCACCTACATGGCCCATTTACGATCCCCGGGTCGTGGACCCGAAATTTAGGTCAAATATCCCTGAATACGGTTTCGTAAAGAAAAAAATACAAGTAAAACCACCCAAGTAGTCTAGGGAAAATCCATTTTTAATAAACGACCCACTTGTGGTCGTTCTGCATCATGACTCAGAGATAATTTCACGCAAGCTTAGGTGAATTTATAAAACAAACACACACACACACACTCATTCATATGTGTCGTTGGTACAGCAAAAAATTACAACAATAACAACAAATTAAAAATAATATCTAGCATTAAGAGTAATCAAAAGCTTACGAATTAATCGCCATTCCACAAGCTTACAATTATCTAGTTTTGAGATAAATTATAAAACAAAAACATGTGTACATACATCATCGTGTAGTTTATATGTAAACATTCCATCGCCATAGCAATTTTCCTCAATTGAAATTTCTGAAGCACTTTCATTATTCAAATCGTCTTCAGTGAAACTTTCAATAAATCCAACATTCTTAGGAAAATTGAATTTCCAAAATAATAGACCCCAAGAAAAGAGATTACAAAAAAAAAGAACAACACAAGAGAAAACCAAAATACCCAAGAGAGCAAAAACAAAAAGAAAATACATAATTAGCAAGGACACTAACCTCTCTCCGTGGAGCAGTGGAGTAGTGATGTTGTATGGGATGGCCTTGCCTCTGGGCCAACTCTTCGAAACAGTGTTGGATATTGCCAGCCGGCGATTCTAATCCCATTGAGGTACGAACCGGTGTATAGCCATGATTGGGATTGTATGATGTGGGGTGTGTGGGTGGTGCCTGTCCGTATGATGGATTGTGATAATGAGCTGGTGAACCTGTCGATGTGGGATAGGGTGTTTGATGGGGATTGTGAGGATATGAGGATCCCGGATAGGGTGACGGCTGATGTCCATTGTTGCTGGGATAAGGTGATGCATGAGGATAGGGTCCAGCCGTGGGATAGGGTGCTGTGTTAGTCGTAGGGTATGGTGCTGGGTTAGTGGGAGGATAAGGTGCATTATTTGTGGGATAGGGAGCATGATGTGTGGCGGCAGATGGATAATGAGAATTTGTCGGTTGCTGCTGCTGTTGTTGTTGTTGATGTGGGTGTTGGGTGGGCGCCACCCAACCCGCACCGAATGGTACACCGGCTGACATACCCGGTTGTGGATTGTAACCAGGCGTTGATGTGGGAGGATGTGGTTGTGGCATGCCGGAACCCTACAAAACGAAAAGAGTTCAATGACAGAGATCAGACATTTGTGCAAAACATATGGAATTGAGTGGGGGGCGGGGTGGTGCTGGTGAGAGGGGTGGGTAAATGAATACAATTTTCAATTTAAAACAAATGAAAGACTCTTTGAATTTTTGTTTCGCTTTGGCCGAAAGGTCACAAACTTCATTTGAAATAGGCGGAAATGTGGCGAGAGGTTTGAAACATTCATTGGATGACATACATACAGGGTGAGATGAAAAAACTGCAACCAAGTTTAGACTGCAGTCATTTCTAAGCCACTCGTCCGACAGATGTCAAAATTATTCCAGTGACAGATCATTTCATTGTTTAGAAAAAAACTATTCGTGATGGAATTCAAGCGTGATAGTGTGATTTCTTAATATTTGGCAGGAAAACCACAAGTGGCTAGAGCACTCCAGCATTTAAATGTTAATAAATCTTTTGTGTCTCGTACCATCGCTCGTTACCGTGATACTGGGTAGCGTAGCCCGACGTCAAGGAAGTGGACGGAAGAAAAAAGCAACATCAGCAGAAATGGTTCGAAAAGTAAGAAGCGACTTGATCGAAACCCGCGTCGCAGTGGCCGAAAAATGGCTCGTGAGCTGAACATATCGCAATATTCCATTCGGAAAAAAAATAAAAAATGAGCTCGGAGTAAAACCGCAACAGAAAGAAAATAGACTCAAAAGAGCTAAAGAGTTGCTTCGCTTGGCCGAAAATGGTGATCTGCCGAATTTGGTTCCCCGATGAGAAAACATTCGTTGTCCAGCAGTTTGTAAACAAACAAAATCGTGATCGTGTTTACTTGCCACAGAGGTCAGCTGAAAATGTGCAACTTCGGTTGGCAACCAGAACTCAAGCGCCGGCAATGGTGATGGTGTGGGCCTCAATAACAGCAGAAGGTTGCTCTCTGCTCGTATTAATAAACCGTGGCATCGTAATAAATGCCGATTATTCTTGCGAAAATATTCTAGAGGGGTGCCTTGGGCATGCAAACATTTTGGCGGAGACCATGGACATTCCAACAGGACTCAGCACCAACGCACTCAACCAAGGAATGGTTACAAAATGAGGTTCCTCGCTTCATTTCCAGCGTACAATGGCCACCAAATCTTAGGATACCTATCCGTTGGACTATTGTGTCTGGAGTATTTTGGAAAGCCAGGTTGGCAAGAAAAAAATACCAAAGTGTCGATCACCTCAGGCAAGCGCTTTGCCGGGAATGGTCCAAAATACCGCAGAGCAACATTCGGACAGCGTGTTGTTTCATTGGTCGTTTGAAGGCCATAATTCGTGTCAAAAGTGACCAATTCGAACAAATCTAAACTTTTGTAAAATTTGATGCTATTCCCGACATTTTTTGCTTTCATTCAATAAATTTGAAAAAAAAAAAAAATAATAAAAATTATGGCGTTTGGCTTTATTGCAGTTTTTTATCTCACCCTGTATGTTAATGTTGAGTAAGTGAAATCTATTCTAAAAGGCTTATAAATCCTCAACCAAGAATTTTAGTGATTTTCAATATTTGATCCACAGATCCAGTTTCTCTGTATCCACTGCAGTTTAGAACTGATATTCCCAATTAAATCATGGTATGCTAAATATTTAGCAAAAATATTGCAGAAAATTTTGGATTTAAGGTACAATCTAGTTTTTGAAATTCACCTTCGTATTTTATTTTTTTCTTTTTATTAATTCCTGGAATTTTGAGTCGATTTATATCATGGTATTGTTGAGTACAGGGACGAATTTAAGGGCCCTAGAACAGTTACATTTTGCTAATTCCCAAAGTAGTTGAGAATACCTTTTTAGGGTGCAGCAATGGATTGGTACTCCATAAATGACAGAAAAAGTGAAACCTTTTATTTTTATTTAATTAAATAACAACCATGAGAACCTCAACACTTGATAAATAATATGGAATAAATAAATATTTTTATTTATAGGTATGATTCATTAGCACTTGAAACTGCACTGGGGCAATGTGTATTACAAATAAATTATTGAGTGCAGATACAATTTATTTAAACCATAACAATTTATTTACGATACTAGTTACAATAGTTTTGCCACATGCCACACCACATCATCGTGTTTGAAACCACAAAATGAAACCAAAATATTTTTTCTTCTTAATTTTAAACAAAACAATTTTGAATACATAAATAAAACCACATGAAGGCAATGATAAATATATTCATGCATAAAGGGTGTTTCGCGCTTAAAAAGATACAAACTTATTTATATTAATATTAAAAACCAGTTAGAAAGAGTTGCCAGTAAATATATATCCGTTTAGGCGGTTTAGGCCATAAAATCGAAAAAATTCCCATTGAACCTTTGTGACATTTGCCCAAGTTTGATTTTGTAGCTATTAACTATTGACAACACTGGTTTAAACATTTCGTGTTTTGTTTCACTGTGAAATATCTCCGATTTGGTCAATAAATTACAAGTCCTACAAACGAACAACGCAAACGCGCAAATCATTGATTTCATTATCAAAATGAGTGCGTCTGTTAAGAATGTTCTGATTATATCATTCTGAATTAGCGACGAAGTCATTATACCCAATTCATATGGCTACGGAGGAAATATATCATTAATATGGTCAAACGTGCCTAATTAAAATAACGATATAAGACCCTAGGCCAAATCCGTTTAAGGATATTTGGAGCTGATCTAGGGGTGTTCGTCCGTTCGTCTGGCTGTCTGGTCTGTGTGCAAGATACCTCTCAATAGGGAGTATTGGATTTAGTCAAAACAATATTCTAGAAAACTAATATCGTAATATTATTATCAAACTTAGATCGAATTTAGTGATGATTCATATCGGTCCACTCTTTCTGGTACCTTACCCCAATAGGTTAATATTTTCAAAGTAAATAATTGACCTCACAGAAAGAGAGAGGATCACCCCACTTTGTAAAATCTTGATAATCCTAATATTTGTATCAATGCTAGGTCTATTGCAAAAATGGAAAATATCACCTCACCCATAAAGTATTTTTCCCCTTTTGACTTTGAACTTTAAAAATTTTAAGTATGAATCTCCTCAATTTTCGCACTCTAAATATTTCTACCAACGCAAGATCTGGCGTGAAAATGGGATATATCAGTCCACTCCTTATTGGGTTAAAATTTTGAACAATTCTCTTCAAAGGCCACCATCCCAAAATTTCTAAAAAACGTAAGATTTGATGTAAAGATAATAGATATCGACCCCACCCCTTCTGGTAACTCCCCACTCAATTTGCAACACTTATATCTCTCATAACTTGCCAGCGATTAATTTCAAATTTGGTAATCTAAATATTTCTCTTAATCTAAATAGTTCTCTCAATCAGAGATCTGAAGTGATATGGAATTTATTGGACCACTCCTTCTGGTACCTATCGCATACAATTGTAATAAATGCTGCATTTTCTTAAAATTTCCCACATTCTAATATATTTCAGTATTGGATGAACCTCACGAACATTTAAACATTTTTTTTTTTTTTGAAAATTATCACATAACTCATAAAAAAGAATGAGGCAGTCGATATGATCCAAATCCTACATGTCGTAATATAGGACGCAGGACAGCTACGAAAGGGACAATATTGGCTCACTCCCTTGGAACCTTCTCCATATAGGGTCAATAGTTATAACATTGAAGCACTGTTTCGTGAGATACCGGCCGAAATTTCGGAAAGATTATAACAAAATTGGACTAAGCGGTTTGACCATTTGAGGCGCAGTCGCGGTCGATATTTCCATGATATAATCTTCAAACATTAAATTATATGGACCGTACTATCACCTAAAAATAAAGATTTTAGGCATTTCTCTGAATTTTATGTTTTTTTAACTTTTCTATAGCTTACAAAAATTAATCCTTTTTCCCCTGGATTGTCAATAATATGACCGAAAAAACTATTCATCGATTTCAAGGTACCTTAACTCGAATATTTGCACAAATGTGAAAATGGCTGGAAGTTCTCCAATCTACTTCAGTTTCCGTCCCGTGTTAAGTTTAACCAGTAAGGAAAGGTCAAAAGTCGGACGGGGTCGGACTATATGATACCCTACACCACTATGCGTATTTAGTAGAGCTTCCGTAAAAAAAATATATTGGGAATTTATTTGAAGTAGATCATACCAACTATGAAACCTTATTTGAATGCGTATCATGGTTTATGAGTAGTCACAATTTGGGAAATATATATCCAACTCCGAATGGATTTACACAAATTTTGACGGAGGTTTTGTACGTCTAGAACCAAATAACATTGCATATATGACTTCGATAAGGATTGGAGTTTCACCAAATGGAAACATTCGGTTGAATATCGGTCTGGGATGAAGATGTATATCGATGGTATATAAAAATCCGAACCGATATGATAACATTTGGCAGAGGTATTTTTGAGGCAGTATCTGATGCCCTGTATATAATATCATTGTTGTGCAGTGCATTTTACGCATGTGAGGGACATAAAACCCTAAATTGGATGAAACTTATGTATGGGAGCTATAGCTTTATCTGAACCGATTTTCATCAAATTTGATGTATGTGCTTCCAGACAGAATTCGGTCGGATTTGCCAAAATTTAGCCCATATGGACTGTTATTGGCCATTTGGTGCACAATTAACCCAAAATCGGTTGAAGAAATATATGGGAGCTATATCTAAATCTGAAGCGATCTTGATAAAATTTTGCAGAGATAATTGTTGGGGCGGTACATCAAATTTGTTGAGAATCGGTTCAGATATTGCTATAGCTCTAAAATATATATTGCATTCGACTTGGTAAAGTCCCTCAAGTTCGTAATATGCATTCGACAACAATGATATTTTGTATTAGATATCTATTAGAGCTCGGAAGTACCTCTGCCAAATTTTGTCATGATTGGCTCAAACTTGGATATAGCTCCCACATATGTATATCTTCAGACGATTTCGGTTTAATTGTACACCAAATGGCCAATATATATCAAAAAGTACTAAACTTTGGTATATACGACCGAATTCAGTCTATACTTGCTTATAGACTGAATTCGGTCGGTTGTAGATGATATATATTTGGGAGCTATATCTAAATCTGAGGCTGTACATAAAATTTGGTAAAAATCGGTTCATATATAGCTATAGCTCCAAAATATATGTTTTATCCGATTTGGTGTTTAAGTCCCTCACATTCGTAATATGCATTCGACAACAATGATATTTGGTACCTGATATCTTATAAAGCTGGGAAATACCTCTGCAAAATTTTGTCATGATTGGTTAAAACTTGGATATAGCTCCCACATTCGACAACAATGATATTTGGTACCAGATATCTTATAGAGCTCGGAAATACCTCTGCAAAATTTTATCAAGATTGGTTCAGATTTGGGTATAGCTCCCACATATATATTCCACATATATTAACCGATTTTGGGTTAATTGTGCTTCAAATGGCCAATATCTGTCAAAAAGTCCTAAATTTGGGTACAACCGACCGAATTAAGTCCATACTTGCTTATAGACTGAATTCGGTCGGTTGTACCAAATTTAGTACTTTTTGACAGATATTGGCCATTTGGTGCACAATTAGCACGAAACGTCAAATTTGGTAACATTCGGATCAGACATAGCTATAGCTCGCATATATATTTTCGTCCGACTTGGTGTTAAAGTCCCTTACATTCGTAATATGTATTCGATAACAATGATATTTGGTATCAGATATCGTATAGAGCTCAGAAATACCTTTGCCAAATTTTATTGAGAACGGCTAAGATATGGATATATCTCAAATATATATCCCCAATGCGATTTCAGGTTTATTGCGCAAATAATGGCTAATATGAGCCCAAATGGAGTGAATTTCTGGACGTACGTTTCCATCGGCTCCGATATACAATGGTGTTTTTTTTTTTTTTTTTTGGTATAAAAGATTAAAATATCTCGGTCAAATTTAGTGAAAATCGATTCAGAATTGGATATGCCTCCCATATATTAGTTTCCTTAGAAACCAAATTATAACTGTTCTACAGCCAAATGTTGATAGGTGGTATGATCTACTTCAAATAAATTCTTTTGTTACGGGAGCTCTACTAAATATGCATAGTGATGTAGGGTATCATATAGTCGGCCCCGCCCGACTTTTGACTTTTCCTTACTGGTTAGCTTTACATTCTTTTCGATTCTTTCTGTTATTTTAGGAAAAAAACTGAATTTTAGCGCAAAATGTTAAAGAGAGAATATTGAACCGAAACACCCTTTATACATTATCATTTACATACGAAATTCCCAACATATTTAATGTTAGAGCTATAGATATATAAAGTATATACTTATTAAATATATAATTTCTTTTAATACTTACAAATGGATACATGTTGTTGCTGTTGTTGTTGTTTTCTTTAAAATACAATCAAAAACTAGATTCCAAAAATATAAAAATAATCTGCAAAGATAAGAAAAAAATGCCAAGAGCAATTAATTAGTTATTAATTGTCTATGAATCGATGATAAGAAAACAATGTCAATACACTTGTTCAAAGTGTCCATGTTTGTCGGTCGATAAGCTTTCACTTTCCCTCAAATAGATTCATTGACATTTTGCGGGTTATAAAAATTTTCTTGTTACGTTTTAAAATTGTTTTTTTTAGCCAAGTGGCTCCCATATAGCTAGGTGGCTGGCCATAAACAGTTGGGGTATTCACGTTGTGTGGTTGTTTTTAAAAAAAATGATGTGTGTGACGTCACAGCTCATACTTGTTTATGACGTATGTTCCAACGTATGGGACACGTCATATCGAATAGCGGATTTATTTTAGAGACACAGTATACTCCATATAGAAAAAACGTGTTTGTATGTACTTTACATGACCCCTGTTGTAAGCAAAAGACACATGTGAATGTACCCGATTACACTTTTCTGGTGACAAGCGAATGCTCTTGCCTTAATTGCTTTGCCACTGTGGCAGTCTCTGTAAAATACGTTGGTCACAGTAGCAGTCAAATGTTTGATATTCGATTAGATAGCAGTTTGTGGTAATAAAAAGTGCTTAGATTTTTGTATTCGATATCCTTATAGGTAGGCACACAAAAAATTAAAATATGACTGATTGGAGTAGTTCGTTCTACTCTTTAGTAAATAAAGTGTTTTTTTATCTGAGGCCATGAAAAAATTGAAATGAAAAAAAATTGCAACCAATTTCAGACCGCTGTCATTTTTAAGCCACTCGCCCAACAGCTGTTAAAATTATTCCAGTGACAGTTCATTATATTGTTTACAAGCGTACAAAAGCATTTTGGTGAAAACTTTCCAGAAAAAACGTTATTCGTTATGGAATTAAAGCGTGGTAGAGTGATTTCTTTATATTTGGCTGAAAAACCACAGGTGGCTATCGTTAGAGCACTCCAGCATTTAAATGTAAATAAATCTTTTGTGTCTCGTACCATCGCTCGTTAACGTGCTACTGGTAGCGTAGCCCGACGTCAAAAAAGTGGACGGAAGAAAACTGCAACATCAGCAGAAATGGTTCGAAAAGTAAAGAAGTGACTTGATCGAAACCCGCGTCGCAGTGGCCGAAAAATGGCTCGTGACTTGAACATATCGCAATATTCCTTTCGGAAAATATTGAAAATGAGCTCGGGTTAAAGCCATTGAAATTCCAAAAAGTGCAAGAACTTATACCGTAACATAAAGAAAATAGACTCAAAAGAGCTAAAGAGTTGCTTTGCTTGGCCGAAAGTGGTGCACTGCCGAATTTGGTTCTCCGATGAGAAAACAGTCGTTGTCCAGCAAAATGATCGTGTTTACTTGCCACAGAGGTCAGCTGAAAATGTGCAACTTCGGTTGGCCACCAGAACTCAATCGCCGGCCATGATGATGATGTGGGCCGCCATAACAGCCGATGATCGATCTCCGCTAGTAATAATCGAACGTGGCATCAGAATTGTCGCGAAAATATTGTGAAGGGTGTATTAAAGCCTTGGGCACGCAAACATTATGGCCACAGACCTTGGACATTCCAACAGGACTCAGGACCATCGCATTCAGCACGCGCCACCCAAGAATTGGTCACAAAATGAGGTTCCTTGCTTCATTTCCAGCGCACAATGGCCACCAAAATCTCTGGATACTAAAATCCGTTGGACTATCTGGAGTATTTTGGAAAGCAAGGTTGGCACTAAAAAACACCAAAGTGTCGATTAACTCAAACAAGCACCTTGCCGGAAATTGGCCAAAATACCGCTCAGCAACATTTGGGCAGCGTGTGACGGTTTCATTGGCCGTTGGAAGGCCATAATTTGTGCAAAGGTGACCAATTCGAACAAATCTAAACTTATTATAAATTTTTTTGCTTTCATTCAATAAAATTTAAAAAAAAATGTAAAATTATTGCGTTTGACTTTGTTGCGGTTTTTTTATCTCACCCTGTATTTTCAAGAAATATCCGACTTTAAAGTTAATGATTTTTGGTAACTATGAAAAATAATACATCAATTACGAAAATATTCGATGAAAGTTCACGAAGACCAAAATGATGAACAACAATTTAGTATACGAGTATTTTAAAAACTTTCAAGAACTTGGCAATCTTTCAAGAACATAAGGCGGTGGTTTGTGTGTTCTATTATAAATAGCCTGACATTTTTGTTGGCCGCAATGGACTTCAATTTTACGACTAAGTACTAAAAGTAAACAAAAGCAATTGTTATTACCAAAAATATAGTACATAACAAATTTGGTATTTTTTCGAAAGAGAAAAGGTTCTGATTCATGTGTTCCATTTCACATTCTAATTCGAGAGGGATGCTTGATTTTAATAACTAGTTCAACGAAAAATAATTCATCATAGCTTTCGAACATTTTTCTATGCTCATTTTAAATGGGTTCATTGTACCCATAATTCACATGAACATCTGTAAATTGTTTTCAACAATATCATAAAACAATTGCCCCATTTTTATATCCAACAAGTAACAACATGTTCTCGGAATCCTTGCACGCAGATTTTCAATTCGTTTTGAATCACCTATTAAAAGTAATTCTTAGTCATGGCAGCATGTTTCTTTTTTATTCCCAGTTATTTGCAAATACATTGTGAAATCATAAAATCAACAAAAGAAAATCTATTGCCAGAGTATGTTTGTATGTATGTGATGCACATTTTTCAGGCAGACACATGTTGCTTGGCGCATTTCCAAGAAAATTGTTTTCTAATAGCATATTAAACTACCTGTGTGATGCAGAATCATTTAAAAATCATGAAGGTGATATTAACAACAGGGAACTTGGGGAAATTGAAATGGTGATCGCTTTTTGTGACAAATGGCAATTAGGAAGCAAAATAATATGTTCTGCCAATAGGTACATCCAAAATTACTTTAAAATTTTTGATTCTTTTGCAAAATAAAATCGATTTGAGCAATCAGAGTCCATTGAACCTAATAAGAGATTTCGAAGGTAGTACTATCGCATTGCTTTTATGCAGCTACCATAGAAAGGATGGTATGATTAATTTGTTATCCCGTTTGTAATACCTTCAAGTATTCGTGGGTTACCAAGAAAAAGTATTTACAGGGTGAGATGAAAAACTACAATTAACTTCAGAATGCTGTCATTTCTAAGCCACTCGTCCGATAGCTGTTAAAATTATTCCAGTAACAGCTCATTATATTTTTTACAAGCGTACAAAAGCATTTGGGTGAGAATTTTCCAGAAAAAAAGTTATTCGTGATGGAATTCAAGCGTGATTGTGTGATTTCTTTGTATTTGGCTGGAAAACCACAAGTGGCTATCGTTAGAGCACTCCAGCATTTAAATGTGAATAAATCTTTTGTGTCTCGTACCATCGCTCGTTACCGTGATACTGGTAGGGTATCCCGGCGTTAAGGAAGCGGACGGAAGAAAACAGCAACATCAGCAAAATAGTTCGAAAAGTAAAGAAGCGACTTGATCGAAACCCGCGTCGCAATGGCCGGAAAATGGCTCGTGATCTGAACATATCGCAATATTCCATTCGGCAAATATTAAAAAATGAGCTCGGGGTAAAGCCATTGAAATTCCAAAAAGTGCAGGAACTTACACCGCAACAGAAAGAAAATAGACTCAAAGAGTTGGCCGAAAGTGGCGAACTTCCGAAATTGTTTTCTCCGATGAGAAAACAATCGTTGTCCAGCAGTTTGTAAACAAACTAAACGATCGTGTTTACCTGCCAAAGAGGTCATCTGAAAATGTGCACCTTCGGTTGGTCAACAGACACAAGCGCCAGCCATGGTGATGCTCTCCGCTCGTATTAATCGACCGTGGCATCAATGTTATCGCGAAATATTCTGGAAGGTGTATTAACGCATTGGGCACGCAAACATTTTGGCAGCAGACCTTGGATATTCCAACAGCACTTAGCACGCGTCACACAAGAATTGTGACAAAATGAGGTTCCGTGCTTCATTTCCAGCGCACAATGACCATCAAAATCTCCGGATACCAAGCCGTTGGACTATTGTGTTTGGAGTATTTTGGAAAGCAAGGTTGGCACTAAAAAACCAAAGTGTCGATCACCTCAATCAAGTGCCTCGCCGGAAATGGGCCAAAATACCACAGAGCAACATTCGGGGAGCGTGTGACTGTTTCATTGACCGTTTGAAGGCCATAATTCGTGCCAAAGGTGACCAATTCGAACAAATCTAAACTTATTCTAAAATTTGATGCTATGTCCGACATTTTTTGCTTTCATTCAATAAAATTTAAAAAGAAGTAAAAATTAAGGCGTTTGACTTCGTTGCGGATTTTTTTTATCTCACCCTGTATTTGGAAGAAATATCCGACTTTAATGTCAATGATTTTTGGTAACTATGAAAAAATAATAAATAATAAAAAATAATACACAATACGACGTGGACCTGCACAGACAATTTTCCTACATGGCCCATTACGAACTTAACCTGTTATTGAAAATGGGCCATGTTGGTCCACGTCAGAAATTGTCTGTGCAGGTTCACGTCTTCATATAACCTCCATATAACGGTACCTCCCGATATTCGGTACTTTGTCGATTTTAGCGACATTATTCACCGGAATTGTTTCAAATTTGGTATTTGATATTCGTATGGATTCTACAGCATACGACAGGAGATTGTCTTTGCAGGTATAGCCCCCATTTAAGGGTACATCCCGATATTCGGTATTTTGATGATTTTAGCGACATTATTCACCGGAATTGTTTTAAATATCGTATTTGAAGTTCGTAATGGATTCTACAGCCTGAGACAGCCTTGTCTGTGCAGGTCGACCTCTTCGTATAGCCCCCATATAACGGTACCCCCCGATATTCGGTATTTTGATGATTTTAGCGACATTAGTTACCGGAATTGTTGTACTACAGCCTATGGCAGAAAATTGTCTGTGCAGGTTCACGTTTTATAATTCCCATGGTACCTCCC